AACCCTGTGTAGTATTTCTGAAGCATTAAATCTTAGAAGGAGTAGAAAGCCTTATCTTTCTCCTGCAGAGTGGCTGTTGGGCTTGAACTTTCAACCTTATGGATAGCAGTGCTATTATACACAGGAGCATAGCTTTTTGCCCCATGATACATCGTGACACATCTACATTGCTAAGGTGGTAGATCTAGAAAGATCTTTGCCAGACATTGTTCCCAGAACTAACCCCTTCTCTATTCCCAATGTTTGCTACAAAACTTCTACATTTACAGTTGTGACAGTTGCAATTAGTCATGATAACAGTTACTCACTACTGAATCATAAGAATCTTATCCCCATCTCTTTTCACCAGACTCATCTAAACAAGATGAAAACTATTCAGTGGGGATTCTACCTTCCCCCACACACTTTTAAACTAAACTCTCTCTTGAAAACTTGTAAGCCAGTCACTTTCTGCCTTTATTGCCCCCTTACTTCAGGTAGCCATTATCTAAGTTCCCCATCCCTATCAACCCTGCATACAAAGGGGATAGGATTAATTCTTGATGTGAAGACTCCTTCCCTTTTAGTTGTGATTTTGAGCTACTGTATCCATAAGTATAGGTCAAGTTCATCAAATTGTAGCAATTTACACTTGTTTCCTTTATCAAAAATTGTTATCTTCCTTTAGTCGAGTTCTGATCATCACACCATTGAAGCTAGGTTAGATGGGTATCCACAGAGTTTTTAAGTGCCCCAAATGTCTCTAAATGGCAAGCAGGGTTGAGATCCACTGAGCTAGCCATAGTATTACCATAGTATACATTTAATGGTCATCTGTACCACCTTCCTGTAAATATCACACACGCACACACACACACACAAAATCCAACATAGTACAACCACAGAATATGAAACTTTACATGCCTCTTTCTAGTTGTACACTCGCAAAGAAAAGCTGTGGCCTTCATCTTTAAAACTGGCAGGCAGTAGAGAAGCAAATTCAAAGAAGGTAAGGATAAAAAAGGAAAAGGTGACAGAGACCCATCAAGATAGGAAGAGACTAATTGAAAGCGGGTTGTTGAAGTAATAAGACACTACCTACTGATGAGCTGTTGGTAATATCAAAGGCACATTTGCAGAATGTTTCCCTTTCAGTAATTGTACAAAGACTCCCTTGCCATTACAATGCACTTTTCTTCTTGGCAGATTGAAGAATGCTCTACCAACTAAATGTATCCCAGTAATATTCAGAGCTTAGGTCCAACATAATCATAAGTTGCCTTGTTATTATAGAGGTAGCAGCCCCATTTAATAACATATTAAATGCATTATTCATTTATGTAACTCAGACCCAGGGACAGCTGCTGGGATGAAAATAGAACCATTCTGTATTGCAAAAAGCAGGTGTGTGCTTGCTTGAGTAAATGAACTCTGTATTTCTGCACAATTTTCTTCTAAATTTCAGGGACCAGTCTGGAAGGCTAATGGGATGTCATTTTCATCCACAAAATAAAATAGTTTCAGAATGGTTTTTAATGAGTATTAAAAAAAAAAAAACCACAAAAAACCCAACAGTCTTCTCTGTGGCAGAATCCCAGGGGGATGGGTCCGTGCTTTGGATGTAAGCAGAACTCGTGTTACTACAGGATTCAGGAAAAAAGCCTGCAGATGATTGGTCAAAACAGGACAAACAAAAGGAATGCTCTCCAGCTGATGATGCCAGTGGTGATGGCTGAGCCCAGCTCGCCAAGACAAAGTCACAGGTGTACTTGGATGTTGAGTGATTAGAAAGCATAACCTAGCTTCTGTTTGCATAGTGTCTCCTCTCTGAAACATGCAGGGAGCTTCTGAGGCACAGCTCAACTCCCTGGGAAGCCATAATGACCCTGTGGTGTTGCTGGTTCCTTTCTTGCTTCTATTCCCCAGTGTCAGCAGCGTTTTGTTTTGTTTTGTTTTGAATCCAGCCTGCCTTTTAATCAGCCTGCGTTTATAAGCACCTACCATGAATTTAAAAATATATATCAGATGGGTGATGTTCCGAATCTTCAGACAGGATAATGACCAATCCAAATTGGCAGTGACCTTCCAGTAGAAACAGGATCTTGGAAGCTCCCTTGCTGAATTAGCTGTTAACCCTTTAGTTGTTGGATTGTGAAGAGTTCCAGGGTTCTAAAAATAGGGTCAACACAGCTGGATTGGTGGGCAAGGTGCTTGGAGGATTCAAGGCAGTGGTAATAACTTACTGCTTTGCTGGTGTTTTAACATTTTAACTGGTACAGCCATATTGGGGTACAATTCTTGATACCAGCCCTGGGGTGGAGATGCCCTCAAGTAGCTTGAAGTCCTCTGAGAAACACAGAAGAAAACCATACAAGGTCTAGAAGATTCCTGTCAAAGAAACCATGAGGACTCCTTTAAGAGTTTGGAGGAAAGACTTGATGTTGTGTACTGGCAAGTGGATTTTGACTTATAATGACCCTGGTGGACAGAGAGACACTGTCTGCAGGCCTTGATGTGTGATCTTGAGAGATGTTAAATAACATCTATGATTTAAAAAATTTTCATGTGTATTTTGGGAATCCTGGTGTGGCGCTGCAGGATAATGCACTGGACCACAAGGTTGGTTTGAACTGCAGGATCGGGTTTTCAAACTCACCAGCTGTTCCTCGGAAACCCTATACAGGGTCACGATGAGTCAGAACCAACGCCATGGCACTTAACAACAACAATATACTGGGAATAGTAAGAGTTCTGGTGTAGCACTGTAGGATGAGCCCTAAACTGCTAACCACAAGGTCAGCAGTTCAAACCCATTAAACTCTCCTTGGAAACCCTACACACCGTCACTATGAATTGGAACAAATAGCACTTAATAGCAACAACAACAATGGTCATAATATTAATAATAATAATATCTACCTCATTAGGGCATTTTGAAAATAAATGAGACAATTCACGAAGCGAACTTAGCACAGTGAGTACTTAATTGTAAACACTCTTTAAATATGAACTTCTTACTTTGCTACTGTCTGAGAGGAGGAAGGAGATGAGCTTCAGCTTAAAGAGTGGGTAAATGTAGGCAGCTGAAGGAGCATGCAAGAGGACATAGAAGCAACAAGTGCAAAGATAAAGAAGCACTTTCAAGAAGGATTGGAAAGAGGTTTAACTGGAACAGACTGAACTTGTGGAGAAAAGGATCAAGAAAAGTAGAAAGAAGATAGCTTTGGAGGGATTTGTGTATAAGAAATTGGATTGACAACTTATCCTAAAACTGTTTGGAAGCCATGAAGGTTATGAGCAGGGTAGAGAATTGTTAATATTAAATCTAAGAATCAGTGTTAACATTCCATGAGCACTTGCCAATTGCTAGGATGATTTTAATTACTCTGTGTACACTAATCCATTTAATCTTTGGAACCACCCAATGAGGTGAGTGCTATTATTGGCCCCAATTTTACATCAGGAAACTGCTCAAATAACTTGTATAACATCCCCCAGGTATGAAGGGAGAGGGTTGGATGATAAGTTGGAATTTTAAGGATATCCACCTGGTACTTGTATTTAAACTAGGTTAGAAGAGGAAGGGACTAGGTAGGAAACAGTTAAACATAAATAATTGTTCTTGGCGTGATCAGTAATGTTTAAAGCACTTTTCCAGACTGTATCCCATTTGAATTTTTCAACTTTGCTTTCAGTTATTCAGTGCTGACACTCAGCAACACAGGAAAAAGCATCATTTGCTAGACTTGAAAGGATTGAAACACTAGACTCTTCAGGTGAAATCTGACACATAGCACATTTTTTGTAAACAAACTTTCATTGGAACCCAGCTGCATTTATTTTTTTTTTATGTGTTTTCTATGACCATATTCATACTACAGCCACAGAGTTGAGTAATTATTTAAAAAATTAAATGGCTCATAATGCCTAAAATATTTACTATCTGTTGTTAAGTGCCATCGAGTCAGTTCTAACTCATAGTAACACTGTATAGGGTTTCTGAGGAGAGGCTGGTGAATTTGAACCTCCAACCTTGCTGTTCAGACCAATGTCATGGTCCAGTGCATTATGCTGCAGTGAGGGCCACACCAGGACTCCATTTACTATCTAACACTTTGTTTAAAAAAAAAAGATTGCTGATTGATCTAGAAGAACTGTAAGACCTTGGGTTTTGATTACTTCCAATTTGAGATCTACCACTACCTCTAGGCAAGTAGATGTGGCAAATCAATATGTGAATAAATAAATAGAGTGCTTACTGTGAACCCCACACAAGAGGCGATGAACCTCAAAAATTGCATAGGTAAATAATCCTAAAACCTCAGGTTCTAATTAAAATAAAATGTATAGGATACATTTTGGGGTCATAATTATTTCTTTTAATTAAAACTAAAATGAGACTAAGAAAAAAAGTAGGAAGTATTTATTCAGTCTTCAAAGACTAAGTGTTCCTTGATTTAATGTTCTAGAAGGTTAGCTAGTATCACTTTTCATTAAGTATTAGAAATGACCAGATTTAGCCAAGTTTTTCTGTACTACACCATTACTGGTACTTTGTTTGTGAAATCTAATGTTTTATAATATCACCATAATAATATCTCCTTTGTCTGAACTTTGAATATTCTTTAAATGTAAATTACTCATTCTAGCCATTAATTATATAGCCTTTGAATTCTCTACTACAATACCTATGTGTATGTCTTCAACTAGATTATAAACTCATTGAGAACAGTGACTTTGTCTTATACTGCAGTATTTTACTTAGTCCTCGAAGAAATCAGTCATCAGTTGATGTGATGAATAAAAGAATAAGTGGATTAAATTATTAACAGTAGGTACAATTTGTTACAATAAGTATATCTCTCTGTTGAGTATTTTATCTGAATTGGTTCTGATCCTCACAGCAACTTGAAAGGTGGTTTGATGGTCCTCAGGGCTAAACAGTAAGTTCAACTTAAAGATCTTGGGAGTGATAAGAGTTATAATGGGCTGAGCTATGACTTGAGATGTTTTCCATTTAGGTATAGGAAGGTGGTTTCTAATAACTGCACTGATGGAGTAAGAGAACAATACACTGCCAAACCCCAGAAGTGTCCAGGAAAGGCCCCCAAGGGGCTGCGGATAGTCACGGCTGATGGAAAGCTGACCGCTGAACAAGGACACAATGTGACTCTTATGGTACAGCTGGAGGAGGTAGGACTGATTTCTGTCTCCTCTGTTCCTCCTGGGGCCAGTGATGTTCCCTAGAAAAGCATGGTTTCATTTATATATTGTTCTGAAAGTTCTCATTGCTAAATGTTATTTATATATTTTTAAAAAATTATTCTGCTTTTATTTTCTATGTTGTTGTTGGTAATGTTATTATTTCAAATTCCCTTATATATTTTTTTCAGTTATTTTCATATCATGCTGTTCTTCACTCTTACTTAACTTTTCACCTCTTGGAATTCTGGTTTGATTTAATCCTGCGTCATTAGCACTTATAGCTAAACATTTCTCAGAATACGATAATGGTATTCCTGAATAAGTTAACATACAACCAGTGTAATAGGATGCTAATTTCTCTATTTCTTTAAACTGATATCTTGGCTCTTCTTTCCCAAAGGTAACCTGCTCGTCATGTACAGAACACTAGGGCCAATTTGAACTTAATTGAGCATAATTTCTCGGGCAATCACGAGTTCCTATTTTTATAGCATATTGTGGATATCATGAGCAGCCACTACTATTTGCCAGATTGTGGTTGTCTGAATTTAATGACTGTTTTAGGTGACATTTATTCTATGACTTTTAGGTTGTGAGTAATAACATTTTTGTTATTTGGTATGCAAGGAGGATGACCCTGAAGGATAAGCACCTTTAATTAGTGGTCTCAGTTATTAAACTAGGCAGTCTTACCTTCAAACGCATTATCTGGGTACATAAAAGATGATTGGCACTGTTCAAGGCCCTGTGAAGATAAAGGTATTTAACCAGCTAATAACGTCTTTGAAAATACACTGACTTCCAGCTACGTGTTTATTATAGCCCAGTAGCTCTTGATCATTACCCCACACTACCTGAAGAGCCTATTAGAGCAGATTTTCCTGGTCCCAATGCCCAGAGATTCTAATTCATAAGGTTAGGATGGGACTCACAAAATAGTATTTCTAATAGGTTCACAGGTTATGCTTTGTTTCAAGAGGAAAAGACAAAGTCAAGGCCAAGGGGGCTGGTGAAACCTCAGAGGTTCTAGATGTGACTTTAAGGAGGAAAAGATGAAGTATCTAGAACTGCTTTGTAAATTTTGACCACAATTATTTTTATTTCTGTAGGAAAAATAATTTTGAAATAATGAGTCTGAAATTCAGGCTCAGATAATGTTGATACTTCTGGTCTGAAGGACCACAGTATGCAAACCACTGCTCTAACCTAATATTTCATTCTGTTGTTTCCCTGATAAATGTCTTCTACCCAAACCCAATCTTCTAAATACTACAGTGTCCTAAAAAGTCTTCATTTGGACTTAGAAAGATACAGGCCAGTTTGGGGCCATTTAGAATTCTTGCTCATATGTCACATAAATAAAATCTCTGGGGACTTCTGCCTGAGGCTATGACAGAGTCAGTTGAAGCAGACCCAATATATACTGTGAGAGGAGGAGAGAGAGAAGGAGATCAGGAGTCTGAGGAGTGTGGAGGAACAGCTAAGAGCATTTGACTGGTTGTAATTCTTTTCTTGAGACATGGGAACTCCAATGGGGTGAGTCCAACCATTTATGCTATCGTTTCTCAGAAGAACGCGGCCAGTTCATAAGCCACACTAGGAAAGAAATGCAGATTTCCAGTAGAAAGCCAGCCAGGAAGTACTGACTAAAGAAAGAGTTGGTGCATTTACAGACCTGGGGTGCTGGAAATTGGACGTCAGCGCTAACAAGGCAGCTAGGTTTTAGAAAGTCAAACCTCAGAGAGAAGGGAAGCATGGAGAAATAACTCAATAATGCTGCTTTTTCTCTTTGAGCTGTTTGCCAATTTTTAAATGCTGCAAGTGAAATAGAATGTAGTCCCTAAGAGCATAAGTTAAGTAAAATTTTTAGACGCATTACATTTTTGGAGAGACAAAAATTTGAGTTCATCGATATCAAGGGGGAGATTCAAAGTATAAAATTCAAGCACAATTTTTGAACCCTTAAAAAGCTTTGGACCTGAACACATCATGTTGTTGTTATGTGTCGTGGAGTTGGTTCTGACACATAGCTATCCTATACAGGGTTTCCGAGGCTGTAAATCTTTACTGGAGCAGAAAGCCTCATCTTTCTACCGCAAAACAGCTGGTCGTTTTGAACTGCTGACCTTGTGGTTTGCAGCCAATTCGTAACCACTATGCTATCGGAGCACCTTAGTAATCCAATTTTCAACCAGGTAGTGAATAAGTGTATTGTGGGGGGCAACAACACTAGTGAATTATGCTCACCATGGAGTGGTCTCTCATTCAAGATCAAAAGGGCAGCATATACCTAGGGCCAGTCTTCAGAGGGGTTGGGAAGGAGGGTGGAGTGGAAGTGGAAACCAGAGGAAGGACTTGGCGTAATTGTTGTTGCATGAAGGAAATTGCAATCATTGAGATGATACCAAGTGCATCATTTGTTGGATGTAAAACTAATGACCTGCTCTGTTGTTGTTGTTGTTGTTATGTGCCATGGAGTCGGTTCCGACTCATAGCGACCCTGTACAAGGTTTCCAAGACTGTAAATCTTTACGGGAGCAGAAAACCTCATCTTTTTCCCGAGAAACAGCTGGTAGTTTTGAACTGCTGACCTTGCAGTTCACAGCCCGATTCGTAACCACAATGCTACCAGATCTGTTCTGTTAACCTTCACTAAATTCACAATTCAAAGTTGTTATTTTGTTAAAGAGAAACTTAAAAAAAAAAAAAAAATCTCTGTCCTAGGAGTAAGGACAAACTAGACTTATACTAGGCTCTTAAACCCTGAAACCCAACCTCATGTTAGCTCAGTCCTAAATGAATCAAGGTGGTTTTCCCTTACTCTGTGTATCTATTGGAGTCCTAGTGTGGTGCTGTGGGTTAATGTGCCAGCTGCAAAGCCATTTCAACTGCAAGGTCGGCAGTTCAAGCTCACCAGCTGCTCCTCGGAAACCCTATACAGGGTCGCTATGGAGTCCTGGTGTGGCACTGTGGGTTAATGCACTGGACTGCAAAGTGAGTTTGAACTACAAGGTTGGCAGTTCAAGCCCACCAGCTACTCCTCGAAAACCCTACACAGTCACTATAAGTCAGAACCGACTTGATGGCACTTAACAACAACAAATATCTATTAGAAGCTAAAATAAATCTTCTTTGGAGGAAAATAAAGTAACCAAAAGACTCTCTCTTTTTTTTTTTTTTTTCATATAAATGTTGTGTAGTTAATAACAAGATTTTCCAGGTGTGTCAAGCAACAGGGTAAAGTGGAGGGAGGGCAAAAGTAATTGAAACAAGATCAGCAGTTGTCTGAGATGTAGGCTTTATAAAATGACCTTTAAAATGAATATGTTCATGAATAAGAAGAAATGGGAAAAGTTAACACTAGAGTAGTAATCAGTCATAAATATCAAATGGGTACTGTAGACATGCAGATATCATCATTGAAATTAAGCATGTATAGCGGATTGAACTCAGATGAACAGCAGATCACTTCACTGGAAGAACAGACATGAGGAAATATACCAGTTGTAGAATGAAGAGTAAAGGGATTGAAAACAGAAAAGAATAATAAGAGACCAGTGTTGAGAAGGAATAATGCAGGTGTAGTTATCTTCCCATAAGGAGAAAAGACAGATAAGGAGGCAGAGCCTATTTCAAGTGATACTGGCTGAATATCTGATGAAGGGTATCAACATACAAATTGAAATGCATCAATAAACTACAAACAGAGTAACTACAAAGAAAATAAAACACTTTTAGGTGCATCATATTCAAATTGCTGAAATCTAAAAGATAAAGAGAAAAACTCTAAAGCTGCTAAGAAAAAAAAATGGAATGACATCTTTGATGTGCTGGAGGAAAAAAACTGTTAAGGCAAAATAAAAACATTTTTGCAAACTAACAAAAAGATAGATGAGTCATAGAAGAAGATTTCTATAAAGAGAAATACTAAAGGTAGTTCTTCAGATAGAAAGAAATTGACCCCAAGCAGAAGCACAAAACTAATGGAAAGACTGATGAGCAAGAGAAAGCATAAAGGGGAATAATTTGAAATGAATAAAAACGATACAAAGCAGTAATGACAGTCAGCTGTGGAATTTTAAATAATGTTATATTTAGTGGTTCGAGTTGGGCTGATAACCTCAAGCAATTCTAAACTACCAGCCATTCTTCAAGCAAAAAGATGAGGCTTTCTGCTCCTGTGAAGATTTACAGCCTCAGAAGCCCTATGCAGGGTGGCTGTGAGTTAGAACTGACTCCACAGCACATCACCACCACCACCACCAAATTTAAAATACATGAAAATAGTAGCATGGTATTTAAAAGGTAATGTGATGAAATTAAACTGTCAAAGGAACATTGATTGCACAATGGGTAAACACTTGGCTGATAATCATCAGGTTGGTGGTTCAAATCCAACAGTCTCTCCGCAGGAGACAAGACCTGGCAATTTGCTCCCAGAAAGATTGCAGCTTAGGAAACCCTAAGGGTTTCTACTTTGTCATGTAAGATAGTTGTTTTTGTTATTAAGTGTCATTGAGTCGGTTCTGACCCATATTGACCCTGTATAGGGTTTCTGAGGAATGGCTAATGAGCTTGAACTGCCAAACTTGAGGTTCAAACTGACTTTGCAGTCCAGAGCATTAATCCACAGCACCATACCAGGACTCCACGTATAAGGTAATTAGGAGTGGAAATTAGATTGAAGGTACAGAGCAACATCAACAAAGTGACCAAAGGCCCCTGAAATCTCTGTAGGGAAGTTAAGGTTCTTATTTATATAAACAACAACAACATATCACTGAATTCATTCTGAATCATAATGACCGTACAGCACAGACTAGAACTGCTCCATAGGGTTTCCAAGGTTGTAGCTTTCACAGAAGCATTTGTTGTTGTTGTTAAGCACTGTTGAGTCAGTTCCAACTCATAGCGACACTGCGTAGGGTTTCCAGGCAGCAGCTGGTGAATTTGAACCACTGACCTTGTGGTTCATACCAACCTTATGG